GGGGAGGAGAAATCAGGTGTGACGGACCTGCAGCCCCTGGAGGTGGGGTAAGGGGAACTGAGAGGAACCTTTTTTTCCTACAGGTTTCAGGACTTAATGAGAAGACAGTGTCCAGGGCTGTTTCACGGCTGTGCTGCCTGCACAGTCGCTCAGACAGGTCCCCGCCTGGTCGGATGCTCTGATGTCTGCATCCTGAAGTTCTTAATAAGTTTTGATCAAGGGGCCCCACATTTTCATTTTACACTGGGCCCCCCCAAAGTATGTAGCCGGCCCCGGAAGAGACTTCATTTCCCAAGGGCCCTGCTCACCGCTGCTCCTGATTCAGTCTCCTGGTGGGTCAACTCTTGCCTCCCCTTCCCTTCCGCCCCCAGCCCCTCTCTCACCTGCTATGTGTGGCCTGAGCCCCTCGGCCCTCTCATTTATACCCAGGCGCTGCCCAGTGATCTCCACCGCCAGCAGGGCCTTGAAGGCTCCGCCCTTGGCAAGGGCTCCTTCGGGGGTATCCTGAAGGGTTGCTGGTTGCTCAGTGTTTGTGTTCCTTTCCACAGTTCCTGGACAAGTGAGCCCCACAGCCGAGGCCAAGCCCATGGGACACTGGAAGAGCCAATGATGGGTGAGGAGAATGGTCACTCTCCGTGACCAACCAAAGCGAAGGATGGTCCAAAGCCAAGGGATGTTTGCTCTGAGTGCCCAAGATGCTCACAGCTTGGGCATGTGGTGAGGAAGAAAGCAGAGAGGTCCTGTCCAAGATGACCCCCTAGGGATCAGAGACACAGAAGCAGCTGTCCAGAGCAGAAGGCCAATCCCAGAGAACATGGAAACAAGCCTCCCGCCCTTTCCTCATTTGGATGGATTTGTCTGAGCTCTTTTTAGATTCCCTACTTAAAAGATTTCCTCCACTGCCCAGTCCAAGGACTCACAATAATGTCCATTGATGGAGCCCTCACAGACGTCTTGACATCACTTCACTTACTGCTTTAGTCCCATTGTATAGATGAAGATACTGAGTCTTAGAGAGGTTCAGGACCCTGCTTGAGGTCATACATGGAGAGGGTGGCCAAGGCCAGGCTTGGTCCCAGGACATGTCCTTAACCTGACCTTCATCACCATGTCCCATTGCCCCCATGCCACAGAGATACCAAGGGAGGGATACCCACTGCTGGGCCCTGGGTGCCCTCACAACTCCTTGTCTCTCCCAACCAGTTTCCTGCCCAGGAGCACCACACAGGAGGATGGGCTGTCACCCATTCAACATGTGGGGAGCTCACCTGCTAAGCCCACAATCCCCGGGGCACTCCTAGCTGGGGGAAGGGGCAGCGAGCCCTGCACAAGTACTGGGGTGATGGGCAGCCTTCCCCAAAGCCTGGGAAAGACCCTGTGGGCTGCTGTGAGGTGAGCAGGTGGGGTGGGGGGAGCCTTGTAGTGGAGCTGCCAGTTGCTAAGCCCTCAGCAAACAGCCCTGGAGAAAAGGGCACTGGGAGAGGCAGAGGAAAAGGCAGCAGACAAAGGGCTGGTGGTTCTGCTCAGTCAAGCCTGAGGCTGGGGAAGCTCCTGTGTGGGCTTTGTTGCCCTTTAGGTTCCTTCCTTCTGCCTCCCCAAGATCTCTTCCTGGGAGATGGGAGGGTTGGGAGACCACAGGCTTCACTGGGGGGATGGGAGGCATGGGTTTCCTTTATTATCACCATGTGCCAGTCAAAGGGCCAAGCACTGGGCAGCCATTTCATTTGATCCCACAGCAAACTCAGAGTAGACGATGTTCGCTCTGTCTTAGAGATGAGCAAACTGGAACCAAGGAGGGGAAGTAAGGGGCTCAGGGCTTGCCCAGGGTGAAGCAAGGATCCCTGCAGGAACCTGGGGCCTGCCTTCACAAATGAGAGAGCAAGAAACCCATAGCCATCTTGTCCCCGCTGGCTGGGGTCAGCGCTCCCAGAAGCAATGGGGCTTAGCCACTCTCTCCAAGGCTTTGTCTCCATCAGAAGGCTGGAATAACCTGCCTAAGGGAACCGACTGATCAAAGGGATTTCTCTGTTGATGGAGGCTGATTTGGTAAGAAAGCTTGCTGCTTTCCTTTTATTTTTTTTTATTTTTTTTTTAAAGATTTTTATTGGGGAATTGGGGGGATGGGAACAGTGCTGGGGAATTGGGGAAAGGGGAACAGACAAGTTGCTGTCGTTTTGTTNGCCCATATTGTTGGTGTTTTAAAAGCAGGCTTATGGAGGTATAGTTTACACACAATAAAATTCACCATTTTTAATGTATAGTTCTATAAGTTTTGATAAACACATCCAGTCATGTAACTGCCACCTCAATGAAGACACAGAGCCAGTTCCATCACTGCAAAAAATCCCCCATACCCCTTGGTGGTGAATCCTTGCTCCATCCCAGCCTCTGACAACCACCGATCTGCTCTCTGTCCCTATAGTTTTGCCTTTTCCACAATGTCATAAAAATGGAATCATACAGTACGTAGCCTCTTGAGTTTGGCTTCTTCCCTTGCAGCCAAGACTAGAAGAAGGAAGAAGGTGGGAAAGGATCATGCCAGCTGAATATGTCTCTTTTATCATAAAAAAAAATCTGCCCAAAAAACCACCTATCAGGCATCCACTTCCATCTCATGGGCCAACACTCAGTTCCAAAGGCACTTGTGGCTACCCTGGAGGTTGTGGAAATGAGCATTTAGTTTTCCAGCCTCTAATGTGGAGGGAGCAAGGGATAGGGATTGGAGTGGGTGTTGGCTTCGTCATCCAAAGGAGTCTGCCACCTCAAGGGAAGGAGGAGAAGGGGAAGGGGAGGGTGTTAAATGTGTGTTTTTTCACACTTGTTTGCAGGGTGGGGAAGAGCTGGGAGGTCTTAGGCATGAAAGGGAAAGTCTCCTCAAGGGTTAAGGATTTGAGGAAGGTGTGTGTGAAGGGCAATAGCCAGGCCACACAGCCTGAAGCTAAGGCAGTTCCTGCAGTAATGACAGCTGTTATTACTGTGACCAGATGGTCTCCACCCCTTCCCTTGGGGAGGTAAGAAGAACGCCACAAAGAGCTGTTCTGTGAAGGAGGTCCTGGGAGGGAGGTCGGAAGGTGAGTGGAGAGATCTGCCTGGGAGCTCAGGATGGGCATACTGGCCCCCTTCCCACTGGGCCCCATGGGATTTCCCCTAAGGAGACAGCCAGACAGACCCAAGCGTTTCTGTCTGCAGCCCCCAGAGGTAGGTGGTGTCTGTGAAGCCAAAGCAGTAAGGCCTTCCACCTAGAGAGGCCTAGATTTGGGGTGTGTTCCTGGTCCCACCTCCAAGCAAGGAGCAAAGGGGTGCTGTGGTCCTGACATAGACCCTGCTGGGGCTGGGCTGACTACATTTCTACCCCCCCGATGGGAGAGGGGGTGTCACTGGACATCCTGTTGCACTTTGGAGTCAGATGCCAGTTTCCCACTCCAGGCCTAGCCTGTCCCTCAGGCTCCTGGAGGAGGGCAGAAGGGTGCCCTTGGGCTCAGGGGCTCCCTGGAGGCTGATCACCCAACTCAAGAGAAAACCCACCTCACCCAGGAGTGTCCTGCCATTTAATGGGGCGACTTTTCTGCCCCAGCAGAAGTTTCTAGGCATTGCTTTCTCAGGGGACTTCTGTCAGGATGCTACTTGAACAAAAGGCTCCTTTGTTTATTGAAGGGGAGGGTTAGGGTGGGATTATAAACAGACAGGCCTGGGAGAAACTGAGGGACAGAGAGGGGGACAGAAGGAGGGATCCAGGGAGAAGGAGAAGGAATGACGGACAGGGTGCTTAGGGATAGAAGGTGGGGTTTCAAGCAGCATGAGAGCCTGCAGGACAGAGGGGGAAATTGAGGGAGGGGCAGGGGTAGCAAATGAGGTTGGGGGCGCTGAAAGCAAGAGAGGAGGGTGAGGTGACAAGAGAGATAGAGTGACAGGCAAACAGGGGACTAGGTCACAAAGGGGAAGGCCCCAGGATTCATCTCTTACCTGAGCCTCCCACTCACTCCCGAGGCTGTTCCCAGGTGAGCAGGATGCCAGTTTAATGTTTGTCTGTTTTATAATAAAACCAACTCCACAGCATTTACTGTGATCTGGTAATAACCTAAGGGTAATCAAAACAATATAAACAAATGTTTTACAACAGTACTCCTAATAAAGGATACCACAAAACAAACAAAAACCTGCAGTACCTTCTCAAAAACTCACTTCACTGACCAGTTTTGTTTGGAAATATGTCTCTCTTTTAGTACCACTGGACCTAGTTATTTTCTTGATTTTGCTTTAGAATGAATCTCTTTTGCATGAACTATTTCCAGGAAACCCTGGTAGGCTAGGACAGGGTTCCAGATGTGGGGGGCCGGCTGGGGAGGAGGAATAGGACTGGTCCAGGGGGGCCAGAGGCCTGCCTGCAGAAACGTGGGCAGTGGGAAAGGCCATCCTGGGGGAAAGTGAGTGTTAGCTGGGTCCCCTGCAGTGCAGGAAGCCAGGTGGCCCCTTGCCCGCCCCTGTGGGCACAGGCAGGTGACTCAAGCTGGCCTTGAGGCAGGGCCTAGAGCTTTGCTGTCTCATTGTTGTGTTCCTTCCTCCACAGGGAGGATTCACAAAATCAGCAGTGAGTCACTCCTGAGTCAGCTCCTTGGGGTGCGGAGGCTGCCTCAGCCCAAATCCAGGAGACTCGACTCTGATCGCACGGGGAAGGAGGAGACACCCATTCTCATAGGGATGGTTTCTCTCAGCCAGTCCTGTTTCAGAAACCCAACAGGCAGGGCCCCGCAGCTCTCACGTTCCCCGTCCCCGGGAGCCTTTCAAGTGGCAGAGCTGGGTCGGCCAGGCCGCGGGACCTCCTGCCTTCTCTCCATGGAAGGACGGTGCTAAGGACAGGGGTCAGGATGTTGGACCCGAGGTGGACAGGACCCCTGTCTGCCCCCATTTTAACCCCAAGTGGACCCCTGCTTCCCTACGTCCCCATACACGGGAGGAAAAACAGAATCTAAGGAATAAATAATTTATTGAAATTGGAGGAATAAATAAGATTTGCAGGCAGGGTTGCAAATAACTGTAAAAATCATTAACATGTATATACACAAAGGCTCTCCGGGCCCGGTAAGTGGAGCCTGAGCCCGGGGGCGGAACTCGGGGAAGGCGACCCGGCGCCGGCACGCGGGGGCCCCCCAGAGGTAGATGGCTTAATTACAATGGAGAAAAGCACGTGGTCAGGCGACTGGGGCGCCTCGCGCCGCTCTGTGTCCTCCGATCCTTAACCCTTTCGGCCCGCTCCCCTGCGAGTGTCCGTGAAACTGCACGCCTTGCACGATTCTCTGCACCCAGGAGCGATGGGCGGTCAGGCTGATGTAGACACCCGGCCTGTTGCGCTCCGCACAGCCCTCACCCCAGCTGATGATCCCCGCCAGCAGCCAGGTGTCCTCAACGTTGCACATCAGGGGGCCTCCGGAGTCGCCCTGCGGAGGAGGGAAGTTAGGAACTCACGTGGGGCAGGGAGTGAGCAGAGCCCAAGACCCAACACAGCGGGCGGCAGACGGTTCCCTTTGGCAAGGAGCATTTCTCCATCCCGGAGGTCGTGGCATGCAAACTCCACCCAGGCCAGGATGACGGGGAAGGACACACCTTCCGGGGTCACTTCTGGTGACAAGCACTCACAGGTGAGGCAGGGAGTATTGTTATTTGTTTTGCAGATGGGAAAACGAAGCTCAGAAAGAAGAAAAAACTTGTCCCAACTGGCAACCACCACAGCAGAGTAGGAATTGTAAGAAATATGTCCAAGCCCAGGCATTATCCTGCCATCCCCCACCACAGTGATGGTATTGTAGCTGGTCCTGGGGACCAGAATTTGGGACCCCCACACACATCCCTTAGGAGAATGCAAACTCCCTGACACCTTCCATGCTCAGTATACATTGGATGTACCCTGTTTCTCTGAAAATAAGACCTAGCCCAAAAATAAGCCGTAGCATTTTAGGTGCCAAAATATGGCACCTTGGCATACTGAATATTTTAAGCTGAAGGAGTTTGTGGAAAAGGCACCCTTTTCCCTGAAACCGGTCATAAACCCCTCATGTGAAGGGCGGGTGCCCTCCATATCCTGGAGGAATCATGCTATGGCTTCTTCCCCGGCTAGGTCTTATTTTCGGGACAACACGGTATGAACAGATGGATAAGAGGCATCTAGGGGGACTGCGGGTCACAGATGATTCTGGGAGAGGCCAGCCAGTGGTGATGGAGCTCAGTGGGACAGGGCTGGGAAGAAGGTAGGATGCTCACCAGACAGGCATCCCGCTCCCCTTCCAGGTAGCCAGCGCACAGCATGTCCTCGGTGATGGCTTCCTGCCCAGCTCCCCGCCAATACAGGCGGCCACAGACTTCTGAGTCGATGATGGGAACCTTCAACTTCTGCAGGGTCTGAGGGTGGGACAGGGGTACTGGGAGTAGGGAGGAGAGAGTCAGGCTTGGAAAGCTCTCCTCCTGGTGACCTCCTTAATTCTTTCCTCCAGTCCCCTCAGTGGTGCTTCTCAAAGGCTAATGGATCAGCTCTGTCAGCTTCTCCCAAGTTATTTGTGGAAAACCCAAATTCTAGGGCTCCACCTCTGGACCTACTAAATCTGAGAATAAACGTGTAACTGGAAGCTCTGAATCGTTAACAAGCATTCTGATGCCCACGACATGGTTAGAACCAATGGTCCAGCCTTGTCCTATCTCAGTCACTACTCTCTGCAGCATGGAGACTGCTACAGGTGAAGTGTTCAATAAATAACCACTCAGTGTTGAATGTCATCAAAGGCTTGAGGAATCCCCTCAAAGCCTGGGCTGGGGGTATTGTAGACCCTCCTCAATCCATAATTCCAGTTCTCACAGGAACCCCTGAGAAGGACCACGGCGAGGCTGGCTGCACCCTCAGAATCAGTGGGATGCCCAGACACCCGAACTGGTGTCATTTCTCTTAGGTCTTCTGAAATCTGGTTAAAATCCCATTTTTCTTATACTTTGTCCTGCCTCAGTGTCTCTTTCTTTCTCTTATCTATCTATATACCTGTGTATCTATCTTTTTCTGCTTCACTGCCTTACTTTATCTAATCTGCTTTGTGTTTCTAGATGATGTTTTCCAAACTCCAGACTTAGTTTGACAATTATATTTTACAGTAGTTGAAACTGTATTTCCTCCTGGGAATTTTGCCTGCAATTATGGCATGCTGCCACCAGGGGGTGCCTGTTTTCACTTTGGAATCTCAGGGCTGTTTTCGTACTCAGAGTACTCATGTACTTGGCCCCATGGTTGTCTCCTGTCAGCCATTTCTAGATCACTTAACAGCTTTGTGGATCTGGCTGCTGTTGCCTCAGAACACAGCTAAAGACACCTTTTAACTAGAAATGACCTAAAATTGTTCACCTAGGCTTCTGTGATGTCACATCTCTGGATTGCAGCCCATCTTTTCATCTTTCTCTGTCATGCTATGCCTCGGACCTCTACTCTTTGCTGCCCATGGCACCTGTCTCTGAGTATCCGCCATGCTCTGTCCCCACCCATCCCCAACCACCTGGTGGTGAAGAAGCGCACCTCCATCATGGACGCTGCCCCAGCCTGCAATCCAGCAGTTGGTGTTCGGACGGAGATGGACCGAAAAATCAGGCAGGCAGATGGGTAGGATTCGCTCAGAGAACTGGATGGGATGCTCGAGGCGCACCAGGGCAATATCCGCACGGGAGCCCTCCCTCCACGAGTACACAGGATGTGGATACACCCAGGCGATGCCCACCTCCTGGGACCGCTGGCCAGGGTTCCCCAGCTGCCAGACGCCCAGCAGCACAGAGAACTGGAGTGGCTTGTTCAGAGTGCTAGAAGGAAGAGGGAAGGGGACAGGATTAGCCAGGAACTACGGGTGGCCAGGAAGAGCCTGGGAGGGGTGTCTGGGGAACTGCACGCACAAGAAGGCCCCACAAAAGCAAAAGAGGCGTTGGGGCAGGAGCAGGGTCCCTCCTGAGGGGCCCCAGACTGGACCAGGGCCTAGCAGTGGGAAGAACCTGGGTCTGGGGCAGGAAGCCAGGGACTCAAGTGGAAGAGACTGGCTGTCATACCCCTTGAAACAGTGGGCAGCAGTCACCACCCAGCGGTTGGTGAGCAGGGAGCCAGCACAGTGGTGGGTTCCGTTCTTCTGGATGCTTACAACCCAGGGCCACTCGGAGTCTGCGCTGTCTTCACCACCCACAATCCGGTTCAGCTGCTGGGGCTTCCCACAGTCTGGGGAAGGGGAGGGGGGCGCAGGCAAAGGAGGGTTTCATTTTCTGTTATCCCCTTGGCAGCACAGTCCTCTTCCCCTTCCATTTTCCCTTCACCCACCTTGAATACTTAGGCTTGTGCTCCACTGCGTCTCCCTCTGCCCTCCTGCCCTGCATGTGCCCCTTCCTTTGCTTTTTCTTCCCCGCCCTGTCCTTCCCCTGCCTCCACTCTGGCTGGCCTTTCCCCTTTCCCTTGGTCCTCAACCTTGCCCACAACTCTTGTTTCGTTTACCTTCTGGACCTCTCACCCTCCAGCTGCATTCAGGCCTCTCTCTTCCACATACCAGCCCCGGCTCTGCCCTCTGGGCCTCATTTCCTGCCTACTGTCCAGCTTGTTTCCCCCATCTTGCCCCACGGCCCCCTCCTGGCCTGCCCCCACAGACATACACTGTCCTCCCGTCAGGTTTCCTCCATCCCCCTCCCCTCAGGGTGGCTCCTACTCACCAGGTGTCTTGGCAGCATTGAGGGAGGCTGAGGACAAGAAAAAGAAAGGGTCAGGTCAGGGGAGAGGTCCCAGTGTCCAGTGAAGAGGAGACCCCAGTGTCCAAAGGAGAGGAGCACCCACTCCGGGACCAGTGACCCTCCTTATCCAGTCTCTCACTTCCGGGCCCCTCCAGGCCTCCCCAGGTGAGGCATTTCCTGGAGCTTGGTGGGTAGGGCAGACAGAAACCTCATGCCCTCACTGTAAACTCAGCCTTACCCCTCCCACCAGCTTCCTGTCCCTCTTGTGCCCAGGATCCATCCCACCTGCTGGGGGACAAGGGACAAGCTCCTGGGGTGTCTCTCACTGAGGGTAAGGGAGCGGGTACACGCCTGACATTCTCAGGCTTCCTCCCCCAGACTTGAGTCAGTGACCTGAGACACCCCCCCACACACACACACACATACCCCCAAGCCCAAGGCCTGGGTGCTGCTGCCCCAGGAGACCCAAGAGGCAGGAGGGAAGGAGATGATGACAACGATGAATTTGATCAATAATAACCACCAGAGCTGAAGTGTATGAGTCCTACTAGTGCCTACCCGCAGTGTTTCATTTAATCCTCGCAGCCATGGAGAAAAGTAACAAACAGAGCAATCAAATAGCAAGAGAGAGAGAGAGAGAGAGAGAGAAAGAGAGAGTGGGAGGGAGTGAGGGAGGGAGGGAGAGAGAGAGAACACAAGCAAAGGAAGCAAAAGAGGATTCAGGCAAGACCAGGAGGGAAGGCGGCTGAGTAGAGAGGGAGGAGGAGGTGACCCTAAAGGGGCAGACAGGGAAGGTGGGGGGAGAGGAAGGGGCAGCAGGTCCTCAGGACTCACCAGTAGAAGCCAGAAGCAGCAGGGAGGTTAAGATCCTGAGACAGCCCCCACCCAGGGCTGGGGGGGGTCTGGAAATGTACATGGCAGGTGGGGGTGGGGTTACAGCCAGACAAGCTGCGCTGGCCGCTGGCTGCCAGGAGTGTTCAGAGTTCCCTGCAGGTCACCCCAGGTTTTATCCTGGGAGGCGGAATGCGGTTAGACCAGTCCCCCCAGTGAATGGCTCAGTCCCTGCCACCTGGGGTTGTAGGTCACCCAAAGGGGTGGGAGGGAGGAAATGAGCCGTTACAGGAACTGGGGGGCTCTAGTTGAGACCCCTACCCACAGTTCTGGCTGTGGGCCCAGGATCTGGCCTCTGGAGGGGCAGGTGAGGGGATCTGGGCTGTGGCCTTGACATTGACTGGGGGGTTGGGAGGCAGAGAAAGGTCCCCACAGCTTGAAAGGAAGGGAGTCTGGGTGGGGAAGGGCAGGCACTCAGACCCAGAGCCTGGGCCCACAGCAGTGGAAAGCTCCAGTTTGGGGTGTTAGGGATGCCCCAGGGCCTGGGGAGGTGGGGGCTGGCAAGGGGGATTCCCAGAGGCTCCGTAACTGCTCCTGCCTCCAAAACTCAACTTAAGAGACTTGGCCCAGCCCAGGGATCAGGGATCCCGTTAACCCACTTACTGGAAAGCCATGAATCAGGCCCACAGTGGCTGCCTGTCCTGGGGCCACCTTCCTGTGAGCTCTGTCACTTGGAAACCCAACAACTCACCCTTCACCTGGACTCCCAGGAAGCCAGGGGAGGCCAGCCAGGTGCTCTGGTGGCTGTGACTAACATGGCTGCCTGGGAAGGACTGGGAGGCTGGGTCTCCCACATCCCAACCTGGCCCCTGAGCTCCTGGGATCCCCTCCTAGGGAGTAAAATGACCAGTGGGTTGTGATTGTGGGAGAGCCCAGGCCAGGTGTTGAGGCTGAGGTGCCCCTCCTCCACCAGGAGCCTGCCCTGCTGACCCTGGAAACCCCCTACCCCCAACCCTGAGGGCAGGTCTTCCCTGACTTAGTGCCTGCACTCCCCACCCCCCACCCCAAACAGGAGGAGCAAGCTTCTTCCGCCTCAGAGACAGACATGTATCTTTGTCCCTTCTTTCGTTTAATCAAAGAAACTGGAGCTAGGCCTTCGCTATGCCTATGCCTGGGGGAGAGGGCCAGAGAAATAACAATAACAGCTGAGGGAGTTTTTGGTGCACCAGACATCGCCTCATTGAATCCTCAAATTCCCTTACTGTTATCCCATTCTGCAGATGAGGAAACTGAGGCCACTTAGGGAGGTTAGTGACTTGCCCAAGGACCCCTAGCTGGTGAATGGTGGAGCCCAGATTTGAACCCTGAGCCTGGAGACAGGTGACTGGACTGGGCTCAGTGGAGCCTGAGGGAGCTCAGTCCAGTAGATGGATAATTGTCACCAGGGGTCATACGTGAGGGTGGGTGGGAGCCTCAGGGGCCCAGAGGAGGCACCTGACCCCAGGGGGTGGGGGGAAGGAGGACAGTGAAGGCTTCCCAGAAAAGAAGAAGCTTGAAATAGAGGCCTGGAGAGCAAGTTGGAGTTGGCCCTGCAGAGGTGTGGGGATGAGGGTCAGCATTGGGGGGACAAGGCACAAGTGCTTGGAGGAGAGGGAGAGTGAGTGCCGGGTGAGTCTGGGGCTGGGGTACAGAGGGACAGAGAGCTGGGAAGGGCTGGGGGCTGCTATATGCAGCACCCCTTGCTAGGAAGACCCCAGCTTGATCAACATGTTCTACCACCAGAGCCTGCCCCAGGGGTGGACGCTGAGCTGCCTACTTCCTCAGGCTGTTAGGGGTCTGCGGTGGCAGGGTTCCGAGATCAGAAACAGATAGCCTCCCCCAGGGACTGTCAATACCAAAAATACTATGGTGTGTTTTACTGGCCCTATTTCTGTTGGGGGGAAGGAGGCAACTCAGGTTAAACTTCAAGGGCGAGCCCCCATGCCACCGCACCCAAAGACAAGCCAAGGATGGGCTGCAGGAGCCTTGAACAGCCCCCAGCGGATGCATTATTCTCTGTCCTCGGAGTAGGGGAAGAGGGACTGCAGGAAAACACCCACGCAGACTGGCCAAGGTGAGGGGCAGCGTCCATGGGGTCCCCTGATTAGCTGAGCAGAAATGCCCTATGTGGGGGAAGGGTGACCCCTCCTCACCTGCTCACTCTCCTGGGTCTCTCTCTACACCCATGACTCTCATGCTTTCCCAACCCCCTCCCTTCCTGAAACTGAGGTGGCTGGCCTCCCCAGCTCACGCGACAAGCATTTATTGGGCACTTGCTGTATGCCAGGCCCTATGCAGGGCACCAAGGCACAGTGGTGAATAAGACACAGGTCCTGTCCTCAGGCAAAACGTGCCTCCCCTGGGGTGGGAGGCAGGTGAGCCAGTAATGGCAGTGAGGTGTCATGGGGGTGGGCACAGAGGCCCTGGGGCTGGGGCTGGAGCGTTGGGAAAGGGGTGGTGGTGGGCACAGACTCTGAAGGGCCACCCTGAAGTTGGGTGCTGTATGCTGTGACCCCCTGAAGGGAGGGACAGTGTGAGGAGGCTCCCTGTGATCCTCAGGTTCTAGGTTGGTGCCTGGTGCACGCTGAGTCTCAGTGGATGTTATGAGTGTGGAAGAGGGGAGTCTGGAGGAATCCACTGGGAACTGACTGCTCCCCTCTCCTGCCTCTCTAGTTTCCTCTTTGTTCCAGATTTTCCTGCCTTTAGTGAGACCTAGATCACTTCCCAAGGGGTAGGCATGTACCCCGAGATGCTTCTGTCCTTGAGATGCAGTGGCCAGGAAGACGGCCACAAGGAGCAGGGCCTGGTGGGAGCCAGAGGAAGTCCTAAACAGCCAGTGATGACTTCTGGCATACGTCCTGGGCAAGGGCCCCAGGGACTGGCTCCCCAATTCCCAGGGAGTAGAGACCCTGGCATGATTCGACAGTCATTCAACAAAATATTGATTGATTGTCTACCATATGCTGGACCCACATAGGGCACCCTGGCTGGGCATTCTTTACCTGGGCATGAGATGGCTGGGCTGGCCACCCTGCTGTCCATTCTACCATGTCCCTGCCAGGCCATCTTAGGGCTGCTGAGGAATCTGAAGAGAGGTTTGGATGACAAGACAGAGTAGCTGAGGCCTTACATGGAACAGCCCCTGGAACTGGCAGTGCTCGACAGAGAAGTGACTCACCAGAGGCATTTCAGACGTGGGCACCGGGGTCAGGGAAGAGATCAGAACAGGGGTATCCATTCATCATCATCCAAAACCTACAGAGCACCTATTGCGTGCGTGCCTGGCACTGCCCTACGAGCTGGAGATACAGCAGTGAACAAACCATGAACAATCCTGCCCTCATGGCAGGGACGCTGGAGTAAACAATCAACAAAGTAAATCACTTATATGGATGGGAAAGTCTCTGGGGAATGGGGAAAACCAAAGCAGGAAGGGGGTTAGGACAAGAGGAGGGGAACAGGAGGTGGGGATGGTGGGGAGGGCAAGTGAGGGGTTGCAATCTTATATCAGGAGCCCAAGGCGGTGCTCACTTTTGAGTTGAGATGTGGGAGAGCCGGTAAGAGTCGTGGGTGCTATCATTGACTAGTCCAGCCCCAGGAATGGCTCGTGTGGGTTGGACTGGCGGATTGGAGCTGTGGTAAAGGAGAGGCACAGGGGCTAAGGGGGGTTGGCTCTGCTTGAGCCAGGCTTCAAAGGACAAGTTGGGGATACTAGGAGAAAAGGTAGAGTGTTCCAGGGTGAGAGACCAGACAGCTCGGGGCACAGGGATAGGTGCTCAGGGCAGAGGCCACCAGACCACCAGGATCCTTGTGGGCCCACCCATGTAGAGGAGTCTTTGCTTAAGGGAAGGGGGAGCAGCTGAGGGCTGCTGAGATCCCACCTGAATCAGAGACACAGGAAGGGGTGAGAGGAGACAGGTGGGATACAGGGTCATGCTAGGTGAGCCCGGGTCAGGGACTCCTCAGATGCCATGGAGATGAAGAGACATGGATGGGCAGGTGCCAGTGAGCAAGGCAGCTAATATCCTGACAACCATCCAGGCTTGCCCGGGACAGTCCTAGGCAAACTGGGACGACTGGTCACCCCGGGGAGAGCTTCTGTCCGGAATCATGGGCGACGGGAGAGAGGGTGGCAAGGCGCTGCAGGCCCAAGCTTCCATAGTTGGAAATTTGGGGAAAGCCGAAGGTAGAAGCCTGGGATGCTGTGACCTCTAAGGCCTTCAGTGGCCCTCTGATCCCCCAAGAGAGAGGATCTGATAAGGAGCCGTGCGGGGCCTGAGAGAAACCCAGTGGAGAGCAATGGCACCATGAGACTCGTCTCTCCTCTGTGGCTTAGGTTTTCATGTCGTTCTGGCCTTAGCTGGAGGTTTCAGGCTGTTTTCTGCAGAGAGAGGCTGCAGAGGGGGAGGCGAGTCCTCCGTGATGTTGTGAGCCTGGGTCTGAGCCCACCTTGAACTCCAGGTAAGTTGCTTGGCCTCAAGGAGCCCCTTTCCTCTTGGTTCTAGCTGTGTGTCCTGAGACCAGAGCTGCAAACCAGGTGTGGAATTCCAACTCCGGTGGGTTTTGTTAGACCTGGTTTGTTTTTTAACAGTGTGGTTTGTTTTTTAAAATTGGGCAAACTCACATTTTTTTTTTCAAATAATAATTTGAACTAATGCAGCTGTGAACATAAGTATACAAGTATCTAACTGAGTCCTTGCTCAAACAGATATTTGTACATGCATGTTCACAGCAGCATTACTCATAAAAGCCAAAAAGTGGGAATAACCCAAGTGTCTATCGATGAATGAATAAACAAAAAGTGACCCATCCATACAATGGAATATTATTCAGCCATAAAAAAGAATGAAGTACTGACATTTGCTACAACATGGATGAACCTCAAAAACATGCTCAGCGAAAGAGGCCAGACACACTTATTGAGTGGAATGCCGTATGATTCCATTTATAGAGGTCCCTAGAGTCCTCAAACTCATGCAGACAGAAAGTAGATTATAGGTTACCAGGGGCTGGAAGATAGGGGGGAGTTAGTGTTTCATGGGGACAGAGTTTCAATTTGAGAAGATGAGTAAGTTGTGGAGATGATGGTGGCGGTGGTTGAACAACAGTGTGAATGTACTAAATGCCAATGAAATGTACACTTAAAAATGGTTAAAATGGTAAATCTTATGTATACTTTACTAAAACTAAAAAA